TAATTGAGGGACCAAAAGTGCGATTTCCCCTACTTATTATAAACGATGCTATGTGAAATTCCACTTTTACCCATGCTTTAAACGGTGTTAAACGGCCATACAGACGGAAGGACCAAATCTGCTTAATGGTCGAATAATTGAGGGACCAAATGTGTTAAAATTGGGAACTAAGGATGACATTGCATAATGGGCACTAATTGAGGGACCAAAAGTGCGATTACCCCTAAAAAAAATTAAAATGAATTAAAAGATTCCGGTCACATTTGGCCAGAAATTTGATCGGCGTGATCAAAATTGATAAGAATTACATAGTCAAGGTACGAAATTAACATTTTTGAAAGTCAAGTCTTGCAATTAACACAACTGCAATAGTCAGTGGACCAAAATTGAAATTTATTCTATATATATATATATATATATATATATATATATATATATATATATATATATATATATATATATATATATGTTGCGCCCAGGACCGAAATAGGAATGGATTTTGTCCGTCCACGTGTCCAGATCTAATGGATGAGAAACACTGATTTTTTTTAAAAAGAGCGGTGGCATTTTCGTAAATAATTGAACATCGAAGTGCAAGTAAAATGTATTACAAGTGCATGTAAAATGTATTATAGTTGCAATTAAAAATTTACACTGAGTATCAATACGAAGTGCACTTATAATTATAAGTAGTTGCACCTATAGTTCTAAGTAGTTGCACACATAGTTGTATGTAGTTGCACCTAGGTGCATGAATGTTTGCGGGTGGTTTCAGAGGTATTACTACCTGCTAAACACAGATCAATGAATATTAACAAGACAAAATTACATGCACTCATAAGTGAAAGTAGGTGCACCTATAGTTATAAGTAGTTGCACCTATAGTTATAAATAGTTGCACCTATAGTTATAAGCACACCCAAGTGCATGAATATTTGCGGGAAGTGAATGCTAACAAGACAAAATTACATGCACCTATAGGTGAAAGTAGGTGCACTTGTAAGTGGTTTATTTGCACTTCGATGTTCAATTATTTACGAAAATGCCACCGCGTTTTTTTTAAGCTATTAGATCTGGACACGTGTCGCGCGTTGATTCGTTCGCATATTCCTTCCTGGGCACTTATTCGCACTTGAGTGCATCCCTATATATATAATCGCACTCAGGTGCGAATGCTTCACCCAGGCGCGAAATAGGAATGGATTCTGTCCGTCCACGTGTCCAAATCTAATGGATGAAAAACAATGATTTTTTAAAAAAGCGCGGTGGCACTTTCGTAAATAATTGAACATCGAAGTGCAAGTAAAATCTATTACAAGTGCATGTAAAATGTATTATAGGTGCAAGTAAAAATTTACACTGGGCATCAATACTAAGTGCACCTATAGTTATAAGTAGTTGCACCTAGGTGCATGAATGTTTGCGGGTGGTTTTCAGGGCTATTACTACCCGCTGAACTCAGATCAATGAATGTTAACCAGACAAAATTACATGCACTTATAGGTGAAAGTAGGTGCACCTATAGTTATAAGTAGTTGCACCTATAGTTATAAATAGTTGCATCTATAGTTATAAGCACACCCAGGTGCATGAATGTGTGAGTGAAGTGAATGCTAATAAGGCAAAATTACATGCATTTAATCACTTATAGGTGAAAGTAGGTGCACTTGTAAGTGATTTTACTTGCACTTCGATGTTCAATTATTTACGAAAATGTCACCGCATTTTGTTTAAGCTATTAGATCTGGACACGTGTTGCACGCTGATTCGTTCGCATATTCCTTCCTGGGCACTTATTCGCACCTGAGTACATCCATATATATATATATATATATATATATATATATATATATATATATATATATATATATATATATATATATATATATATATATATATATATATATATATACTCCGTATTATATATATAGTGTGCAAATGGAGATTAAAAAAATAAAAAAAGTATTAAAAATATTAAATTTGTTATTCGGGTCCACTGTGCTCTAGGTCTCTAGCTTTCAGTTATTGTCGAACATATGATATGTGAGATGATTCGTCATACAGGATGAACTCAAGATGAAGAAAACGGAAAGAAAACTCTTCTGTATTGATGATGAATAAAGGAGTGAAAAGTTAGAATGCGAAGCGGGAAGTAGCTTAGCTACATATACAAGGACGGCAGTTATAACTGCCACACAGGAAAGAAAAGACAAAAATACCCCTGAGCCTTTAGCCTTTAGAACTGAGCTACACTTTGATCATCTGCTTGGTAAGTGTTCCATTACTTAATGTTCCGCCACCCCCCTGCGTAAGCTGGAGCATGAACATCCTGAAGGCCCAGCTTAGATTAGAAGACATCAAATAAGGGCTTGGACAGGACCTTAGTAAAGCCATCCGCAACTTGCTTGGAAGAGGGAACTGCCAGCAGCTTGATCCTTCCTTCAAGCACTTTTTGCCTCACCACATGGCAATCAATTTCTATATGTTTGGTGCGTTCATGGAAAACATGGTTTTCCCCTATAGCAATGGCAGAATGGTTATCACAGAATAAGGCAATGGGACTGTTGGTGATAAACTGCAGATCAGCTAGGAGATATAGAAGCCATTGGATCTCACACACTGTGGAAGCCAAGGCTCTACATTCAGCTTCAGAAGAGGACCTTGATATGGTTGCTTGCTTCTTGGTTTTCCAGGAAATGAGAGATTCCCCAAGATATATGCAATAGCCAGTTATAGATCTTTTAGTCTCAGTGCAAGTGGCCTTGTCTGAATCAGAAAATCCTTGTAGCTTAATATCAGAAGTGGATGAGTAAAATAGACCTGTGCCAGGAGATCCCTTTAGGTATCTTAGTACCCTATGTGCTGCAATCAAATGAATATCCCTGGGCTTATCTACAAACTGGCTCAGTTGCTGCACTGCATATGATATATCAGGCCTTGTGTTTGTCAGATAGAGGAGCTTACCAACTAGTCTCCTGAACACCTCAGGATTATCAATTGATCTCCCATCAGTCCTGGTGAGTCTTTGGCCTGGAGTGAAGGATGTCTTAGCAGGCTTGTAATACCCACTTTCTTATAAATGCAATTATGCTTAAGTTTTATTAAGTGAAGTCAACAAGTCAAAGCTTCTTATTTTGATATTGGATAAAATTACCAAATTACCCTTCTTTACCCTTAAAGGTTAAGGAACCACTTTAGTCTTGGATAAGCATCTCATTTGAAAGAAGACAAGGAGAGCTAATTAGAGAGAGATAGGGGAAGGAAAAACCTTGAAGCTTGGATCTCCATCTTCTTCAAGCTTAGATCTCTAAGATATTGGGTATTCTAGGTCAGTTTAACCTCTACCTTTTACTCTTTATGAGTTGGGTTTATCTTTGGAGCCCTAAGATTGATTATTTGAAAATATTAGGGATTTTGACAAGGAGTAATTGGGGGAGCTAAATAGCTAATATTTGGATGTTTTAAGTAAGTGTTTATTCCTCTCAAAACTATTTTTACCCTATACTATAAAATAAGCTTGTGTTCCGAATTGTATATTGAAGCTTGAGCTGCGTTTTTTTTTTTGGACTAGAAACGTTGCTATGTAATCTGGACTGGAATTGTTGTGAACTGTGTTTCTGGACAGAAATTATGCTCTTATTTAATCTGAACTGGAATGATCACCAAGTGTAGAGATGGTAGAATGGCTTGTGGTTATTGTGTAGGCAATGGTAGGTCGTGGGTTCCACTCTGCCTGTTAATATACCTTATGTTTATTTTTCTATATGTATTACATGCTTATAAAGTGGATTATTTGTTTAGAGAGAGAATTGAACTCTTAACTTCATGATTATATATATTAAATTGAGTTCTTCCAACTAAGCCATTTCATTTCCTTTAAAATCACTTTGGTTTAATAAACTATTCTATGATTTTTAAAAGAGTTATGTACTAAGAAAATTATTATTTTGAGAATGGTTCATAACTTGCATATTTCTTAGGATTTGATAAACTTATTATCTATTTTGGAAATATGTACTTTGTTATGTGATTTTAAGGAAAGTATTTTTGCTACATCGGGCTCATTCTGAATCGTCGAGTCTTTTTGGACCATTACAACGATAATGGCATGTGTCACAGAATATAATGGTGGTTGTAGGTTGCCAATGGGTCATATGTTAAGGAATGATTTGTGCTTTTGAAAGTATTGTGTTATGAAATATTGTTGATGCCCATGTAGCTAAAGTTTCTTGTTTTGTGAGCTTATGTATAGTATGATGGAGTATATTATGACTTCGATATAGTTTAAAGATCATGTTTTGCATCTAGTTATTGCTCTAAAATTTTTGTATTATATTGGGGTTACTTATTCGGGGTTGAGAGGAGTACCACTTACTGGGCATTAGCTCATTATTTGTATTTTGTTTCCTAATGTTTCAGAGTAGTTAAGGACAGGTGAATAGCACGAGCACAAGTGGTGGGGTCTCGAAGGTGACTTTTGGAAACTAGGAGACTTAGTCCTACTATTGGAGCCTATCACAGATTTTGTTTCTTTTGGATATTCCTGTTGACCATTTGTATTTTGGTAAACCATTGTGCTTGGTTTTTGTGCTTGTAATGCATTTTGTCATGCTAGTCTTGATTGTAAATATTTAATAGTGGTGATTTGTGGAGTTTTTGGGAAGAACTAGTTGTTTATATTTGCCATAAAAGTGAGGAATTATTATGTATTAAAGTGTTGTTATGAAGGTTCCAAGAGGTATGTATGGCTAGGCTTCGTATTGTTACAGGCTTTCGTGTAGCGATACGGCCGGGTCATGTCCTAGAAGCGGGGCGTGACAGAGTTGGTATCAGAGCCTAGGTTTGAATCCTTAGTTGGTCAAGAACTTAAGTTTAAATTTTTGCAAAATTAGGCTTTAACCTAGTGGCTGATAAGTTTAGGCTTTGAGCAAGTTCTAGCTAGGTGTGGATTCCTAAACATTTTGCTAATGTGGCCATACTTTTTCTGTTGTGAATTTAGGGAGTGTTTCTTTACTATGATTAGGAGGGGTGTTCGTACACGTGGTCAAACTCATCGAGGTAGGCCGTCGACAAATGTGTCTCCTATTCGGAACATAGCTGTGGATGCAGGACCATCAAGGAGTCCCCCGGTTCAGGGAGTCAATCCTGGAGCTACTGCGGCCCCTCCTGGTACAACACCTACAGCTACCCCAACTACCTTGCCAAATACACCACCATTAGCTACACAAGCAGATATCAGTGGGATCAGTACTGTTGTAGCTAATCTAATTCGACAACAACAAGGACAACAAGATGTCACTACCCAGTCTTCATATTTCGAAAGGTTTAGGCGAGTGAACCCCCCTACCTTTAATGGTGGCCCAGATCCTACAGCAGCAGAGAGATGGATTAAGGAATTGGAAAAATTATTTGATGCAATGCAATACCCTAACGACGTCAAGGTAGCAGTAGCCGTTCCTTTATTGCAAGGGAATGCTGAGCATTGGTGGGAGGTAGAAAGGGCTGCCCACCCTGATGGTGTTAATTGGCAAGATTTCAAAAGGATTTTCTTTGACAATTTCTTCCCTGACAGTTTGAAGACAATCAAGGAAAATGAGTTTCTGGACTTAAGGCAATGAAGTATGACTGTGTTGGAGTATGCTCACAAGTTTCATGAGTTGGGCCAATTCTGCTTGAGATATATGATTGACGAGAAAGACAAAGCTAGAAAGTTTGAGCGGGGACTAAGACCTGATATTCGAGATAAGTTGTGTGGGACCATCTTCACCACCTACTTGGCTGTGTATATGAGCGCTCTTAAAGCTGAAACCGAATTGAATAAGCAAGCTGAATATTGGGCAAGGAAGAAAAGAGCAGGGCCCAAGATATCTAAAGAAGCTAGTGGTTCTAGCAATAAGAAAAGAGATGTTGGATTTCAAAAAAAGGCAAATACATGTGGATATTGTCATCGATCTCATACCGGTCCATGTCACCGTAAGACTGGTGCTTGCTTTGGATGTGGACAACAAGGCCATTTGATCAAGAATTGTCCCTCCATGAAGAAGAATGAAGCACAGTCGACTCATCCCAAAAGGGCTAATGCTCGGGTTTTTGCCATGACACAGGAAGATGCAGATAAGGTGGACAATGTAGTTGCAGGTATTATTCCCCTAAACACTGTGGATGTTTATGTGTTGTGTGATTCTGGTTCTTCGCATTGTTTTATTTCTGAGAGGTTTGCAAAGAGCTTAAATTTGCAAGCTAAAAAGTTGAGTGAACCTTTATATGTTAGTACCCCGATGGGGAAAATTATGGTGACAGACACTTGGTTTCAAGATTGTCATCTACAACTTAATGGGAGTAATTTGTCAATTGACTTAATTCAACTAGATATGCGGGATTTTGATGTGATATTAGGAATGGATTGGCTATAAAAAAACTATGCCTTCATTGATTGTGCTCGTAGGAAGGTGGTATTTCAAATTCCTGGGCAACCTATTTTTACTTTGGAACACTTTCCTAGGAGTGGGGTGTTGGTTTCGAGGGTGCCATTAAAAGTAATTTCAGCATTCAAGGCTAAGAAGAAATTGAGAAAAGGGTATAGCGGTTTCTTGGCTTATGTAATGGATACCCACCGTAAAGAAGTTAAGTTAGATGATATCCCCGTTGTTAAATAATTTCCGGATGTGTTCCCAGAGCAATTACCTGGATTACCTCCAAATAGAGAAATTGAGTTTGAAATAGAGGTTGTTCCCGGAACCACTCCAATCTCAAAGGCCCCTTACCGCATGGCACCATCTGAGCTACGTGAGTTAAAGGTGCAATTACAAGAGTTGCTTGATATGAGATTTATTAGACCTAGTGTATCCCCTTGGGTGCACCAGTGTTATTTGTGAAGAAAAAGGATGGTAGCTTGCGATTGTGTATTGACTATCGGGAATTAAATAAAGTCACTGTGAAGAACAAATATCCTCTACCTCGCATAGATGATTTATTTGACCAGCTGCAAGGTGCTAAATACTTCTCAAAAATTGATTTGAGATCAGGGTACCATCAATTGAAGGTTAAAGCTAGCGATGTACCCAAGACTGCTTTTAGGACCCGGTATGGCCATTATGAATTTTTGGTGATGCCGTTCAGGTTAACTAATGCTCCTGCCTTCTTTATGGATTTAATGAATAGGGTCCTCAAGCCATTTCTGGACAAATTTGTTGTGGTATTTATTGATGACATTTTGATATATTCAAAGAGTGAGGAAGAGCATGCTCAACATTTGAGGATCATCTTGCATACCTTGAAGGAAAATGAATTGTATGCCAAGCTAAGTAAATGTGAATTTTGGCTTAAGGAGGTATCTTTTCTTGGTCATGTGATTTCTGGAGATGGGATTTCTGTGGACTCGGGTAAAGTTGAAGCAATAACGCAATGGCCGAGACCCACTAATGTCACAGAAATAAGGAGTTTTCTGGGTTTAGCAGGTTATTACAGGAGATTTGTGAAAAACTTCTCATTAATAGCTATGCCATTGACTCGGTTAACTCGGAAGGGTATAAAGTTTGATTGGGATGAGGAGTGTGAGAAGAGCTTTCAGGAATTAAAGGAAAGATTGGTTAGTGCACCTATCTTAACCCTACCATCCGGGGAAGGAGAATTTGTTATTTATAGTGATGCATCAAGAAGAGGATTAGGATGTGTGTTGATGCAAAATGATAAGGTGGTAGCTTATGCGTCCCGACAATTGAAGCCCCATGAAGTTAATTACCCCACTCATGACTTAGAACTAGCAGCTATGGTATTTGCTTTAAAAATTTGGAGGCACTACCTATATGGAGAATCTTGTCAAATATTCACGGACCACAAGAGTTTGAAGTACCTTTTTACCCAAAAGGAATTAAACATGAGACATCGACGATGGTTGGAGCTAATCAAAGATTACGACCTCTCTATTAATTATCATCCAGGTAAGGCTAACGTGGTAGCCGATGCTTTAAGTCGTAAGTCCTCCATGGTTAATGTGACAACAGTAACCACTCAAACCCAATTGTTGAAAGACTTGCAAGATTTAGAAGTTGAGGTTATTTCGCAAGATAAGCAAGGAGGAATTTTGGCAACTATGACTGCAAAACCGGTATTATTAGATCGCATCAAAGCGGCCCAAGTTCTAGATCCCGAGCTGATTAAGATTCGGGAAAAAGTTCAAGCGGGTGACCCAAGAGAGTTCGGTATTCATGATGATGGGTCGCTCTATCTCAAGTCCCGACTATGCATTCCAAATGATGTCGAGATAAGGAAGGATATTTTAAAGGAAGCCCATCAGTCCCACTTCTCAGTACATCCAGGTGCTACCAAAATGTATAGAGATATGAGAAATCATTTCTGGTGGAGTGGTATGAAGCGGGATATTGCTGACTTTGTGGCTAGATGCATGATATGTCAACAAGTCAAAGCTGAACACCAAAGACCTGCAGGATTACTGAAACCCCTAGAGATACCTCAGTGGAAGTGGGAACATATATCTATGGATTTTGTGAGTGGATTACCGAACAGTCAGCAAGGGAAAAATACCATTTGGGTTATTGTGGATCGACTTACTAAGGTTGCACATTTTCTACCCATTAAGAAGACAACTCCATTGAATGACCTAGGTGAGTTGTATGTGAATGAAATCGTAAGGTTACATGGCGTACTTGTTAGTATAGTATCTGACCGGGACTCTAGATTTGTGTCAAAGTTTTGGAGAAGCTTACAACGAGCCATGGGGACTGAATTAAGATTAAGCACTGCATTTCATCCACAAACGGATGGGCAAACCGAGAGGACAATTCAGACCTTGGAGGATATGCTTCGAGCTTGTGTTTTGGATTTCAAGGGTAGTTGGAGTAAATACTTAACTTTGATTGAGTTTGCATATAACAATAGCTACCAATCAAGTATGGATGACACCTTTTGAAGCTTTATACCGAAGGAAGTGTAGATCTCCTTTATATTGGGATGAAGTTGGAGAAAGAAAGATCTTAAGACCAGAACTTGTACAACTCACAGTTGTGAAGATTAAATTAATTAGGGAAAATCGCACTTTTGGTCCCTCAATTGTTCCCAGATATGCAATGTAGTCCTTCATGATCAATTTTGCTAAATTGGTCCATCAAATGTTTCAATTGTAGCCAATATAGTCCTGCTGTCAAATTTGTCACTAACTAGAGTTAATACTATGGACATTTTAGTAACTTCACAATACTAAGTTTTACCCCCAATTTCCTCCTTCATCCGATTTGACCTAACCCAATTTGATGTTGGTATTTTGGAGTAAAAATGGGTGGTAATGGTGAGAATTTTGAATTTTGATGGCAGCCGAGTTCTGCTGACGCAAGTACTGCTGGCGATTACGCTTCTGCCGAGCCTGCTCCAGAAGCTTCTGTCGATTGCGTTCCTGCTGGCCCGAAGTGGACTCCCATTGTTGTTGTCGGAAGCTTCTGTCCGCCTGCCGAGCGGGCATTTCTGTCAATACACCGACCAACTCTTACCACTCTGGTCCGGCGAAGTCCAACTCCAAGACCGTCAAAATCCAACTGTAGATTCTCTCGCGAGTGCTTGAATTGCTGTTCTGTTTTAGTGTTGGCGTATGGTGCTGGTCAACTTTTGATGTTCGTGTGGTTTTAGATCTGGTGTCTGTTTGAGTTTTGATTTTTTGGAGTGTTTTTTTTTAGGATTTGGGTGAGAAATTCTGCTTCCTTGGTCAGTGTATTGACAGAAATCTCAACCACCACTACAGCGGCGGCGGAAGTGGACTCCCGCTGTTGTTGTCGCCTTTGGCAACCAGGCCGCTGCCGCAGCATTGAGGGTTTATCGCGGCGGAGATGCTACAGTTCTCTCCAAATTTTAGCTCCAAAAACACAAGCAAAAGGGTCGGCATCCCGCCTTCTCATCCGTATATGCTTCCCGTTTCACCTTATTCGCAGATCCCGGTGTCCCGGCAAGTAAATCAACAGATGGGTGTCTAGAATTTTAGTACTTCAAGTCCAGTGTCCATAAATTTGGCTGCTAGCAAAGGTGGTGGTTCGATTGGGTTTTTCTGGTGAAGATTGCTTCCAGAGCCTTAAACCTAAATTGATATGTTTTTTGTGACACATCGCACTTGATTTTGAACATTTTCCAGAATTTGCAAATTCCGGCGACCGGTCAGCTACCGGACCGCCGCCAGTCGCCGACGACCACGGCGGCGTTATCGTCACCATGAATTCTGGTGCGAGTGACAAATCTGAAAAGTCAATGTGGGAGGAAGGAGGAAATTGGGGGCAAAACTTAGTGTTGTGAAATTACCAAAATGTCCATAGTATTAACTCTAGTTAGTGACAAATTTGACCGCAGGACTATATTGGCTAGAATTGAAACATTTGAGGGACCAATTTAGCAAAATTGATCATGAGGGACTACATTGCATATCTGGGAACAATTGAGGGACCAAAAATGCGATTTTCCCAATTAATTAAGAAAAGAATTAAAGCCTCTCAAGACAGGCAAAAGAGCTGGGCTGACTTGAAAAGAAGAGAATTGGAATTCAAAGTTGGGGATTTGGTGTATTTAAAGGTTTCACCAACTTGAGCAGTAATGAGGTTTGGAGAGAAAGGAAAATTAAGTCCACGTTACATTAGACCGTTTGAGATTCTGAGTAGAGTGGGTAGTTTGGCTTATGAGCTAGCACTACCACCACAATTAGCTGGAGTTCACAATGTATTCCATGTATCAATGCTACGAAGGTACATTGCAGATCCGAGTCATGTGGTGGAGTATCAACCACTACAAGTTAGGGATGACTTAACATATGAAGAAGTTCCTCTTCGCATTATTGATTGGAAGGAACAAGTGTTGAGGTCCCGAGTAATCCCTTTTGTTAAAGTGCAATGGTCACATCATACCCACTACTACAAAAAAGGGCTTTAACGTCGGTTTTTTGACCCCATTTAACGTCGGTTTTCGACTGACGTCTAGGCAGCAGACGTCGTAAATAATGTTTGACCGACGTCGTATAATTTTTAAATTTTTAATATTAACATACGACGTCGGTTATTAAGAAATAACCGACGTCGTAAAGTTTTAAAAATTATTTTTAGTTAAGAAACGACGTCGTATATTTTAAAAACAAAATAAATTCACATAAGACGTCGGTTTTTATGAAAAAACCGACGTCTTATGTTAACTTTAAAAATTAAAAAAATAAACAATGTCGGTTATTTATAAACAACCGACGTCGTTTATTTTTTATTATTTTTTTAACAATTTTCCACCCAATTAAACCTGTACAGCTTTTACAAATCACAACAATTTTCTTAACCTATCCAGCAATTTGATATTCCTCACAATTAATCAAAACTAATAAATCTTACAATTAATTCAAAAGCAACTCATACCATCAACTAAACAAGTTAAATTTATGGTAATTCTACAATTGATAATATTGATAATAATAATTTCAAACTTAAATTATCAACATCAACTAAACTTCAAGGACTACTTGCCTTGTTCATTCCCTTGAAGTGGTTGTTGAAAATAATTTTCAACATGAATTTCATAACATAATAACCACATTCTTGTTTTATACCAGGTGTTCACATATAAAGAATTCGTAATATCCATTCATTATCTAGTAATTATTTTTTATTAATTAAATTAAATTAATCCATAATTAATAATAAAAACAACTTAATTACCTTCTGATTGCAGCTACAAATTCTTGTCTAGTCATGTGTTTCATCTCCTCCACTTCTTTCTCATAGTTACTGATCTGCATTCAAAAAATACCCAACAACATTAAATTTTCTTCCTCTTTTTTTTCTCTCAAAAATTAAATTAAACGGTCCAAATTAATACTACCCATGCAATGAAAGAACAAAATGTTTACTGGGAAATTAATAGTTGTAGAAGTTCCCCAGTATTTTAATGCAGCAAGATCATAAACCCTAGCTGCTTTATCCTCCTTGTATAGTTCTATCCACCTATATTCGATCATATTATTAAAAAACAAACAAACATTAACCCTAATAATAAAAAGATTATGATTATTAATAAATATACTTTATTTTTTAAAATATGGAGAGAATGTAGAACTTAGAAGGAAAAGCTCACCCAGATACACTATTAGTGATTATCAGATCTGACCAAGTCAATACCAATAAAAGAAAAATGGTTAGGAATCATCAATAACAACAATAATAACAATAATAATTATTATTATAATAATTAAAACTTAGAAAAAGTGAAAATTAAACCTTGACGACCCTTTAGTGATTGCCCTTCCCTCCTGCAACTATTATCCCACAAATGAGCTTCATACCATCCTGTCCATCTATGCTTACAAACTGTCCATCTATGCCTACAAATACATACAACCCGATCGAGATGAGGTTAAAGGCAGCTAAAGTTTTCCCAATAATGGAGATTGCTTGCTTGTAGGGATTAAGACCATGTCCAATGTTATGTAAGCTTCGCCCACTGTTTAATACGGAGTATATAACAGATTAATTTATTTAGTACAGATAAATGTAAACAGGCAACGAGATCCAGCATTCAAGTCTGCTTATATTCATTCATGCCTCCTCCAACGCGACGTTCGGCGAGGCAAGCGACGTCCGGCGGGGCAAGGCGACGTCCGGCGGGGCAAGGGACGTCCGGCGAGGCAAGGAAAGACCGGCGACGCTGTTGTGGCGAGGCGAGGCGAGGCGACGGCTGGCGAAGACGAAGGGGAGGGGGCGACGACCGTGGCGACTAGAAGATGGAAACGGTGGAGTCGACGGTGTGGCGAGCGGATGGAAGAAGATGGAAGAAGAAGATGTCTGTTGTTTGAATGAAGTAGCAGAGGGAGAAGAAGATGGAAGAAGAAGATGTGTGTTGTTTGAAAGAAGTAGCAGCGGCGGACGAAATATTAGGGCTGAAATAACAATACGACCTTGGTTAAATATTGACCTACGTCGTATAGTTAATTATTATTTTTTTTTAAAAAAATAAAGGATACAACATCGGTTATTAAAAATCACCGACGTTGTATCTTCAATATAAAAATTTTAAAAAAAAATCGTAAACTATACAACGTCGGCTACCTTCTAGCCGACGTCATATAGTATATTTATTTCTTTTTTTTTTAATTAATAAGGTACGTTGTCGGTTATAGGTCTACCCGACGTCGTATCTTTTGTAATTTCTTTTTTTTTTTTAATTTATTTTTAAGAGATAAGACGTCGGTTGTTTGAAGAAACCAACGCTGAATGTCTTTTTTTAATTATTATAAATATTTAACGTCGGTTTATTAAAAAACCGACGTTGTATTGGAGACGTTAAATACAATTTCTGTAGTAGTGACCCCAACAGAAGCAACATAGGAAAAGGAAGATGATATGAAGGATAGATATCCTGAACTCTTCAAGTTTGAAGGTAAGTAAGTTTGGAGGACGAAACTTATTTTAAGGTGGGGAGATTGTAATACCCACTTTCTTATAAATGCAATTATGCTTAAGTTTTATTAAGTGAAGTCAACAAGTCAAAGCTTCTTATTTTGATATTGGATAAAATTACCAAATTACCCTTCTTTACCCTTAAAGGTTAAGGAACCACTTTAGTCTTGGATAAGCATCTCATTTGAAAGAAGACAATGAGAGCTAATTATAGAGAGATAGGGGAAAGAAAAACCTTGAAGCTTGGATCTCCATCTTCTTCAAGCTTAGATCTCTAAGATATTGGGTATTCTAGGTCAGTTTAACCTCTATCTTTTACTCTTTATGAGTTGGGTTTATCTTTGGAGCCCTAAGATTGATTGTTTGAAAATATTAGGGATTTTGACAAGGAGTAATTGGGCGAGATAAATAGCTAAGATTTGGATGTTTTAAGTAAGTGTTTATTCCTCTCAAAACTATTTTTACCCTATACTATAAAATAAGCTTGTGTTCCGAATTGTATATTGAAGCTTGAGCTACGTTTTTTTTGGACTAGAAACGTTGCTATGTAATCTGGACTGGAATTGTTGTGAACTGTGTTTCTGGACAGAAATTATGCTCTTATTTAATCTGAACTGGAATTATCATCAAGTGTAGAGATGGTAGAATGGCTTGTGGTTATTGTGTAGGCAATGGTAGGTTGTGGGTTCCACTTTGCTTGTTAGCATACCTTATGTTTATTTTTCTATATGTATTACATGCTTATAAAATGGATTATTTGTTTAGAGAAAGAATTGAACTCTTAACCTCATGATTATATATATTAAATTGAGTTCTTCCAACTAAGCCATTTCATTTCCTTTAAAATTACTTTGGTTTAATAAACTATTCTATAATTTTTAAAAGAGTTATGTACTAAGAAAATTATTATTTTGAGAATGGTTCATAACTTGCATATTTCTTAGTTTGATAAACTTATTATCTATTTTGGAAATATGTACTTTGTTATGTGATTTTAAGGAAAGGATTTTTGCTACATCGAGCTATTTGATTATAAGAACTATTTTGAGTGTTTTGGTCAAATTTATGAGGCAACCTACATTTTATTGTTTGTTTTGTTTGGCTTGGAACGTTCCTAAATGCTCATTCCGAATCGTCGAGCTTGACTCATTCCGAATCGTCGAGTCTTTTGAATTATTTGTTGGAACGTTCCATCCGGCTCATTTTGAATCGTCGAGCCTGACTCATTCCGAATCGTCGAGTCTTTTTGGACCATTACAACGATAATGGCATGTGTCACAGAATATAATGGTGGTTGTACGTTGCCAATGGGTCATATGTTAAGGAATGATTTGTGTTTTTGAAAGTATTGTGTTATGAAATATTGTTGATGCCCATGTAGCTAAAGTTTCTTGTTTTGTGAGCTTATGTATAGTATGATGGAGTATATTATGGCTTCGATATAGTTTAAAGATCATGTTTTGCATCTAGTTATTGCTCTAAAGTTTTTGTATTATATTGGGGTAACTTATCCGGGGTTGAGAGGAGTACCACTTACTGGGCATTAGCTCATTATTTGTATTTTGTTTCCTAATGTTTCAGAGTAGTTAAGGACGAATAGCACGAGCACAAGTGGTGGGGTCTCGAAGGTGACTTTTGGAAACTAGGAGACTTAGTCCTACTATTGGAGCCTATCACAGATTTTTGTTTCTTTTGGATATTCCTGTTTTTGTGCTTGGTTTTTGTGCTTGTAATGCATTTTGTCATGCTAGTCTTGATTGTATATATTTAATAGTGGTGATTTGGGGAGTTTTTGGGAAGAACTAGTTGTTTATATTTGCCATAAAAGTGAGGAATTATTATCTATTAAAGTGTTGTTATGAAGGTTCCAAGAGGTATGTATGGCTAGGCTTCGTATTGTTACAGGCTTTCGTGTAGCGATACGGCCGGGTCATATCCTAGAAGCGAGGCGTGACAAGGCTTAGACTCCAAGAAACCATTTTATTTTAGTATCTCCAAAGCATATTTCCTTTGGCATAGATTGAGACCAGTAGGAGTTCTTAGGGCTTCAATTCCCAAAAAATAGTTTAGCGGTCCAAGATCCTTGATTTTGAAGGCATCATCAACCAGGTGTTTTAACTCTCTTATCTGACCAGAATCATTTCCTGCAACAAGGACATCATCTACATATACAAGCAAAGCAGTGAATGATGTGTTTGTAGTCTTGGTAAAGAGGGAAGGATCAGCTGTTGATTGGTGAAAACCATAATGAAGAAGAGCTCCTGTCAATTTAGCATTCCACTGCCTGCTAGCCTGTTTTAAGCCATACAATGATCTTAGTAACTTGCAGACTTGATTTGGCTTGTCACACTTGAATCCAGGAGGTAAGACCATGTAAACTTCTTCCTTTAAATCTCCATGAAGAAAATCATTATTAATGTCAAGCTGTTGAATGTCCCATCCTCTGGAAATAGCTAAGGCCAAGAAAGTTTTAATGGTGGTCATCCTTGCCACAGGTGAGAAAGTCTCAATGTAGTCTACCCCAAGTTGCTGAGTGTATCCCTTTACAACTAATCTGACCTTATATCTCTCTATGGAACCATCAGCTTTGTGTTTCACTTTATAGACCCATCTACAACCAATTTGTGACTTTCCCTTTGGTAAATCTGTTAGAGTCCATGTATTGTTCTGGACAAGGGCTTCTATCTCAGATTCCATAGCTTCTCTCCATACTTGGTGTTTTTCTGCTTCATGATAGGTTTGTGGCTCTTGAGTGGATGTAATAGAGGACACAAAACTATCAAAGGAAATGAATTTGCTGATTTGATGAGGGGATGTTCTCATCATGGATTGGTAGTGGTAATCATTCAATCTGACAGGGATATTCTTAGTTCTTGCTGACCTTCTAGGCTGATCAGTACAATTCCTTGGTGGATCATTATCATCTGCCATGTCTTCATCATTTATTTCAGGTACATCATTGTCCAGATGTATATCAATGACCATATCTGCATCATTGAGCTGGCCTTCATTGTGAACATGTGTATCACCAATTATTTCACTGCCATGTTCACTTTCTTCAATGACATATCTCTCATTATCAAGACTTCTATCAATATCCTCAGAGTCAACTCTTTGTATGGTTTCTGAGGAGTCATAGCTTGTTCTGTCAGATATAGGAATATTAGGTAAAGAGGGATTATGAGCACCAACCACATTTTCTACTGAGCACTGCTGTTTGAAAGGATAATTTTCCTCATAAAATTTGACATCCCTGGAAACAAAGACAGACTTATTATTAATGTCATATATGACATAACCTTTGACATTAGCTGGATACCCCAAGAAGATGCATTTCCTTGCCCTAGATTGCATTTTGTTTCTCCCCTTTGAGACAGTTGCACCAAAACACAAACATCCAAAAGCTATTAATTGATTATAGTCCACATCATTTCCTGTAAGGACCTTCAAAGGAGACCTGCCATTAAGGATCTTAATGGGCAATCTATTGATTAAATAGGAGGCATGGATGACACAATGACCCCAGAATTGAACAGGTAATCCAGACTGAAAACTCAGGGACCTTGCAACATTCAAAATGTGTTGATGTTTTCTCTCTGCCACCCCATTTTTTTGGGGGGTATATGCACAAGATTTTTGGTGAGTGATTCCTTTGTCATTGTAGAAGGCACTCATCATAAACTCAGTCCCATTGTTTGACCTCACAACCTTGACTTTGGCTGAAAATTGTGTGCAGACATAAGTATAAAAATTCTAGAATGCAGACTTAACTTCTGATTTATTCCTCATCATGTACAACCAGGTGAACCTGTTGTGATCATCAACAATAGTTAGGAAATAATGATCTCCTTTAAGTGATTCTACTGCAAATAGCCCCCAAACATCCATATGAACCAAGTCAAAACATTTGTCAGCTTTAGAGTTACTAATAGGAAACATGGACCTCTTGTGCTTAGCAAAATGACAAACATCACACACAAAATTGGAATGTTTATGAAGATCATTATGCTTTATCCCATTCAAAAAAGGTATTTTATTAATAGGGTAGTGACCAAGTCTGTTATGCCACAATTCAACAGACAGACTATTACATTGTTTACCACAATTATTATCAAAATGTTGTGAACCCTTCTTGATTGGGGGACTATTGATCAGATACAGCTCATTCTCTTCTATAGCAAAACCATCCATCATTCCATGATTCCCCTGAATAGCACAAGAGTCAGCATCTAAAACAACTTTGAAACCAAAATGTTTAGCTAACCTGCTGACATATATAATGTTGAAGGTGAATGAAGGAATGTATAAAACATTCTTGAGGGCTATGTGATTGCTAAGCTTAATCTGTCCAATGTGTGTGACCCCCACTACATTTCCATTAGGCAATTTGACAAAGATTCCTAGGACTCTTTGAGAATCCTCAAAGTATTCCATAGAGCAAGTTATGTGATCTGTGGCTCCTGAATCCAATATCCAAACAGTAGGTGAATCCAAAATGGCATTAACAGTATGAGAGTGAGAGATAAACATGCCTTCAGTGGAATTATTTGTTGAGTTTCTGAAATCTGATCTCAATCCAGGATTAGTCATTGACACAGCAGCATTGGATGAGCCCTGACTTCCCTTATTCTGGCCTTGCAGAAGGGATAATAACCTCTGAAACTGGTCATTGGACAATCCAATATCTCCCACCTGGTTCACAGAGGTGTTAGACAGTTGCTGCACTTCTTGTACTTGCTTATTTTTGGATTTATAGACTGCAACCCAACTAGGTGGATATCCATGCTTCTTGTAGCACTTTTCAATTGTGTGACCAAGCATCCCACAGAAGGTGCACTTGGGAACATTTTTCCCTCCATTATTGTTAAATTTTCTTCTTCCATTGGAAGCTGAAACAGCTACAACAGACTGTTCTTCCTCAGAGTTGGTTTGGTTATTTTGAATGGCATTAGACTGTACAAACTCACTACGCTTCTGAGATATAAAGTTTCTGAATTTTCTTTCCACTTTCAGAGTCATGTTTAGGACTTTCTCCATGTCAGGCATTGGGTCCATTATAAGAACTCCTGATTTAATGGTCTCATACTCATCATTTAGTCCCTCTAGGAACCTAATTACTTGATCATCTTCTCTTTCTTTCTGCATTCTAGCCATAAGTGTACAGGAACACTTAGGTGTACATTCACACAGAAGTAAGGGCCTTAATGCATTCATCTGTTGCCACAATGCATTACACTTAGTGAAATACTCATTCACTGACATACTGCCTTGAACATTTCTAAAGATCTCATTCTGGATTTCTGAGATTCTATGGGAATCAGACTGTGCGTACCTCTTGTTCAAGGCTTTCCAGATGTCAGATGCCTTGTCGAAGTACATGATGCTTTCTACAATAGCCGGATTGAGGGATTTCAGAATCCATGAGCAAACAATCCGATTGCACCTATTCCATGCTGTAAACCTTGGATCGGATTCTTCTGGACATTGAATGGATCCATCAACAAATCCAAACTTGTTTTTGACTTCAAGAGCTATTCTCACCTATCTACTCCATGAGGAGTAATTGATCTCAGACAGAGGAGGTGAAACGAGAGTCATGTTAGGGTTTTCAGCTATGTGTAAGTACAGAGAATCATCTATCTCATCAATGCGATGATTAACAAGGTTCTGTGTCGATGATCATGCTGTAAATTGCGTCTGGTTTCCATCACCGCCGCCGGCTGTCACCACCGCCGCATAGCTCCGGTGTGGCTCTGATACCATGTCGAACATATGCTATGTGAGATGATTCGTCATACAGGATGAACTCAAGATGAAGAAAACGGAGAGAAAACTCTTCTGTATTGATGATGAATAAAGGAGTGAAAAGTTAGAATGCGAAGCGGGAAGCAGCTTAGCTACATATACAAGGACGGCAGTTATAACTGCCACACAGGAAGGAAAAGACAAAAATACCCCTGAGCCTTTAGCCTTTAGAACTGAGCTACACTTTGATCATCTGCTTGGTAAGTGTTCCATTACTCAATGTTCCATCAGTTATCCTGTTCTGAACTGAATACAGAAAACATTGGCAGCGGGAAAGATTCCAACACAACCTCAACATCCAATTAGAAATTAAAGCAATGGCGACGGAATGAAGAACATGAAGAATCTACTTTCCCTTAGCTACTATGATGTACCATATTATCTTAAGTATTATTTTTTGTACTTGAGCATCTTCTCAGAGGATGTCATCATCAACAAAAACAAAGTGATTCGACTATGGATTGTTGAAGGATTTGTTAAGGAGAATAGCCAGTAGGTAAAAGAAGAAGTTGCTGAAGCCTATCTCAATGAATTACTTCATAGAAACTTAATTCAAACAGTAGAGAAGTTTGACGATGGAAGGATGAAGGGCTTTCAATTAGAGTGCACGACATTTTGCGAGAAGTTATACTTTCCAAGTCAATAGAGCAAAACTTTGCAATCATTGCCATTTGGCAAAACATAGAATCTTCCAACAATTTTCGACGCCTAGAAATTCATAGGTTTGATGACAACATTCTGAAGTGCACTTCATCAAAAATGCATGTTCGTTCTTTACAATTCTTTGAGCCACTTTCATGCTCAACGGCGTCATCTTCATTATCAAAGATGTTTACTGCCAAATATATTCCTCTAAAGATATTGGATTTAAGAGATGCTGAACTAGAGGAAATTCCAGAGGAAGTTTTTAACTTGTTTCAATTGAAGTATTTGAGTTTGAGGAAAACAAAGTTGGGAAGTGTTTCTGAATCTATAGGACATCTTCAAAACTTAGAGACTACACTTGATTTGAAGCACACATATGTGATTGAGTTACCAGTTGAGCTCTTAAAACTTTGTAAACTCCGGCATCTCCTTGTATACCGTTACCAAGATGAATGGAGTAATCCTTGGATGAGTACGCAAAGCTTTAATGCTCCATTTAAGATTGGAGAATTATTGTCTTTACAAAAGTTGTGTAATATACAAGCAAATGATATTAATGTAGTGTCTGAGATGGGAAAACTAGCACAACTAAGAAGACTAGGAGTTAAAAAGTAAGACGAGAGGATGGCATAGAATTTTGTTCGTCATTGGAAAAATTGACAAACCTTTGCTCTTTAAGTCTTGGGTCGAATTCAGAAGATGAGATCCTTGATATTCACCATCCTCTATATGTCATTCCTCTTCATCTTCGTACATTACAATTGATAGGGCCTCTCGAGAGAGCACCTCAATGGTTATCCTCACTTGTAGGCTTAACCAATCTAAATTTGGAATGGAATAGACTTGTTGAAGATTCATTACCGTTTTTACAAGATCTGCCCATGTTAGCATATCTTAATCTTTCAAAGTCTTATGAAGGGGAAGGATTCTGGTTCAAGGCCAACAAGTTCTCAAAGCTCAAGACACTGTGTATCGGTGAGTTTGAATGCATTGAAATGGATAAGAATTGAGGAAGGTGCATTACAACATCTCGAAGTTCTTTACTTGGATGAATGCAGATTGCTTGAGCAGCTGCCATTGGGTATTTAATATTTGTCTAATCTTAAGAGAATTGATATTCATGATATGGTTGACAAATTGATGGCAACTTTAAAGCCAAATGGTGAAAATTATGCAAATATATCTCACATTCCAGAGATTGTCATTACCCATATCATAGATGGTAAGCGGAAGTTTTTCTATTAATGGGTGATCACCAAATTAATATGCACTGCAGCACTGATGCACATGTGTTTTTATTTTAAATTTTGTGTTTTTATTTTTAATTTAATTGTTTTTCAGAACAATTAGAAGTTAGTGTTGTAATAAGCCTATTAGCTCAAACATATTGACCAATAAGAATTTAGATAAAGAAGATAGAGAAGAGATGAAGAACACAATAAGCCAGAGAAACCTCTCATCCTGTTATTTCAATATCTGAATATATATACATGTACAATCATTAAGTATTATACTAAATGACATAACTGTTACATATGTTACAAATCAACAATAATGTCCATAATGAATGAGATATTTATAACACTCCCCCTTGGACATTATTTGTCCACAATCTTGCTTCAATAACAAACTTGCTAGGAAAACCTTGTGGGAAAAACCTAGACAAGAAAGGAGTACAATAGAAAATATATTCATGCCTCATTAAAAACTTCACTAAGAAAACCACGTGGGAAAAACCTAGTTGAAGAAAAGAGTACATGATATATGTAAAAGCATATATTGTCTTTGGTTGCCTCATTGAAAACCTTAACTTAAAAAGACCCTGTGGGAAAAACTTTGTTAAGGGAAAAAGAGTACAACCATAAGCCTTCAGGGCGCAAACTGCATAATCTTCAGGATTTTGGGGTTTGTCCATTTAAACAATTATTTTGCAACTTTTCCCCATTGTCATTACTATATCATACTCATGTCTCGTTAAAAACCACACTAGAAAACCCAATGGGAGAAAACTAGTGAGGAAAAGAGTACATGATATTTATGTGTGTTGCAAATAGTGTGCAACTGTTAGTCTTTTATGACTTAATCTTCAGGATTTTACGTTCAATCTTCCGGATTGATTCAAGTAAATGTATTTCCCGTCTCCCCCTGAAGATAACAATCTTCAAGTTGTACATATATTTCAAAATTTGAAGAGATGGATTGGACAAATCTTCTAGATTATCACTAGAGTAGTGTACAACAATCTTATGGCTCTTCTAGAGCTCATATAACATTTGTGCAACACAAGTGTTATTGTCCTCATTTTGAACATTTAGGGAAATTCATTGTATAACCAGTTTGGACTTGGCATATTGTGGGGATCAAACAAACAGCCAGTACCCAAGTAGCCTATTAAAATCGTATCATGGTTTCTTACATAAATGTCATGTCTTTGTATCTCGAAGATACCGGAGGATATGTTAATCATTATTCAAGTATTTCATTTGTAGGGGGGCACTAGATTTTGCTAGCAATTTCATCGCAAATATGTTGCGATTATGGAACTTCTGGTTCTATAATGATGCTCCAACAATAATGAAGTAAGGGACTTCGAGTCCAAAAAAAGGTTCCTTATCTGCTTCAAGAGATTATTAGGCAATCTTTAGTTTGATAAAAACATGACACTTATATGCATATAGACATGTGAAAAAAGCATTTTTAGATGTAGGCTGACTAGTGTATATAAAAGAAATCTTCAAAGAAAAACTCGATCTTCAAGTCGAGATAAATACTTATAGCTTTCACAAGCTTTTTATTTCAAAAGTCTCAGTCTTTAAACATGAACTGACAGTATCAAGCTCTTTATATATTTCATTGATGTTTACACCATCAATCTTGACTAAGATAATAAATAATAAATAAGTTCATTATCAACCCTTTATCCAGCACACAATGGTACATATTATTCCTTCAATGAGGATATTAACTCCATTCGCAACCCTTTAAAGAGTAAATAATGACACATAATAATACTTAAATAAATCCTCACTTCGAGAATTATAAATCCATCCAGGATTTCTCAAAATAAATTTAACTGCATATCTAAATTTATTATTCTGCCAATTGTATTATGTAGCGGAACTAAATGCCATTTACCATGGGAGAGTATATTTGATTAAAATCAATTAAAGGTCTCTGCGTGGACCCATAGGCTACAAACTCGCTGCATATCATATCACCTTATTATTCTTACTTCTCTTTCATGCACACACCCATTTGTAACCTTCAGGGTTAACGCTTAATGGTGTATTGTTATAAAGAGAATTTATTCATATTAGCGAGTCGAGCTATGCCTTAATTGCTCCTTTATATATTAAATAGTCATGGCACTTCTGGTGTCTAACTCTGGATCCAGATTATCATATAACGAGCAATTTGTAATGGCAATTGTGTTGTCGACAACTATAACCTTTTTGTAAAACTCCCATATTTGTAAAAGTAATGGCAATTTCTAAAACAACCAGATTCTAAACATTTCTCAAAGATATTTTGATCTGATCGTTCCGCATCCCTAGTATTACGTTTGTTTGGTGCACCCATAAGTCTTACCAGGGTTTTTCGTCATCTGGACGAACGTCTGCAGGACATAATTATTCAAGCTATTTCAAGAGTGACAATATTTCTTTACTAGATCTAGTATTATGATCCATATCTCTTTCACCAATAGATCTCCTACATTTCTAGTGTCAAGGAGTATCGATAGATATGTTTGGTCCAAGGATATGAGACCTAGTCACTTCTTTTATGATCATTATGATCAATAGATGTATTTGGCAGATTATTTGCTAAAATCGCAAATAGATTATCTTTTAAACTTCCAGTTCAATCTAACTAGTACATGGATTTAAATAATGAAGATGTTTTTATTCTTATGAAATTTCTTGGCATTC